GCTGCCCTTTGCCGCCGCTCCACCCGCCGGCTCGCCCTGGAGCTGGGGATGTCCGGCCTGGGGCAGAGTCCAGCAGCCCTAGGCCTGCCACAGCTCCTCTGGGGTGAGGACGAGGCCAAGCAGGGCTGCGAGGGGTCACTCCCGCCAGCCCGGCCTTCGCGCCCCCAGCACCGGGCACGGTTGGCAGTGTCCTGCGTACAGCCCGCGCCCGGCTCAGCTCCCCAAACCTCAGGAAGGAGCACGAGGACCCACGAAGTGATTTGGGGATGAGGTCGAGCTCTGTCCCCTGAAGCGCCCCGTCATGCCGGCTCCGGGAAGGGGCAGCACGGTGGACGCGCAGCCTGAGACGGGCCTGGCCGAGCCCCTGTCTCCTGCGCCAGCCGCCCCGCGCTCCCCTGTATGGAGCCCAATGGCACAAGGTGTCTGGCCGGTGCCCCAGAGAGGTGCCGGCCCTGCTGCGAGCACCCCCTCTCTCCCCCTCCCAGTGTTTTACTGTCAGTCGCCCGGGACCGTAAAGCAAGTGGTGTCTGTGGCGATTTCCCCTTGGAAAGCGCCTGGTCCTGTGCTGCCCTGTCCTTCCCTGGGTTGGAGCGCGGCAAAGCAGGCGCTGCCACCCCAGGAGCCCTGGCGCGCGCACGGCGGCTGCTCGCCATCTCCTCTGCCAAGCAGCAGGAGCTCTGGGTTTCTCAGGCGCTGCCAGCACCCTGGGGACGTCTCGGGGCTCTCCTGTCGTTCCTTCAACACCCCTCTAGCTAATGACAGGCTAAAGCAGCTGTAAGCCCCTTCCTTCCCGAGCCCTGCCCCAGCCCCATGCCCTGTCTGGACAGGTGCCTGGGGTAGCCTGGACTTGCCTGGGCCCGAGGGGCCGGTCTCAGCCCGCTCTGGAAACAGCGTGCCCTGCAGTAGCCCTAGCTCACCTGACCTGTGCCTCCTGACCCCTCACCCTGGCACCCGCTGCCCCAGTACGACCCTTGCCCCGGCCTGTTTACCTGGGATTTGAGCAGCTCGGCGTCAGCACATTCCCTTCCCTGGGGAGGCAGCGAGGCCAGAGGGCAGGGACCAATGAGCAGATCCAGGGCCGAGCAGGGCTATAAACCCTGCGTCCCCCCGGGCTGGGGCATGCTGCTGCTCTGACCCTGTTCAGCTGAGCTCTCAGGTGAGCTTGGGGCAGGCCTGCGCTTGCAGAGTGGGGGGATGGGGGTGGCTTGGGGCCCTGCCTCCAGGAGATGCAGGGCTTGGGGTTTCCCCCCAGTGGGTGCAGAACCTGCTGCCTCCTTGTGCTGGGGAGCTCGGCAGAGCCCCTGCTCCTAGCACTCTGCCATCCCTCCCAAACCACCCCAACGTGACCAGGGACAGCGCAGAACCAGCCCGGGGTTGCAGGGACCTGGCTGTTGCCTGGGGGGCACTTAGGGCATGTCTGCCTTTCAGGGGCACCCGGTGCCTTTGCTTCCCTGGCAGGGTTGAGCCCCACTGTCCGCAGCAGGGACAGGAGGAGGCACGTGGCCCCTGTGCCCCTGGCAGGGAATGAACCCCGCTTCCTCCTGCACACTGCCACCGAGCCCAGGGCTCCTCAGCAAGCCCTTGCTTGATTGGAGCCAGGGGTGGCCCCCCAAGGGTCCCCCTCAGCTCTCAGTCGCAGGCCTCTTCCCTGAAGGTCCCGGAGTGCAGAGCTTGCCAGAATGAAGGTGCTTGCTATGGCCATGCTGCTGCTTTGCTTGAGCCACCTGGAAGGTAAGAACCTGCCTGGGAGAAGCGCCCTCCTCTCCCTCCCCCTCAGCAGGGGCTGCCCCTGACCCCAGGGCCTGACCTCACCTAGGCAGATCCCTGCACCCCAGCCCACAGCTCCCCCATGCCTCTTGGAGCCTGCCAGGAGCTGACACACTTTGCCAAGCAATCCTGCATCTGTGGAGGGAGGAGTTTAGTAGGAAGAGCAAAGAGCAGATCAGGACTCCTGGGTCCCCACCAAGCTCCGGGAGGGACTTTGGCTTAGCAAAGTGGGACAGGAGCTGGAGCAGTCCTGGCACTGCATCCCAGGGGTGGCAGAGTTGGCTGGAGCCCCCCCAGCCCCAGCACTTGTGTGAGGCAGGGCCCATGCATCTTGTGCCCAGGTGCTGTGGTGAGGCGGGAAGCGGAGGCTCCAGCTCCCAACTTGCTGGAGCTCTACACCCACTACATCCAGAGGCTCTCAGACGTCCTGACCAAGGAGCTGCCGGAGAAGATGAAAGCTGAAGAGATCAAGACCCAAGCCAAGTACAAGCCGCAAGGCAGAATGGGAGCGGGCAGGGATGTCTGTGGGGGCCTATGGAAGGGCAGAGAGGCTGGGCAGAGCCTGCAGGGCTGGGGGCAGGGAGGGGGGCACGCTCACCATGGAGGAGCCCTGAGGCTGAAAGCCGGGCACGTGATGGCACAAGACTGGGCACCAGTGCAAGAACGCACTAGCACCAGCTGCCCCAGGGCCTGGGACTGCCCTCACGCCAGAAGCCAGGCAGGGCAGGGGCAGTGGAAAGGGCCAAGCCCCAGGAGCAGAGCTCCCCAGACTGCAGCTGGGGGCCTGCCCAGGCCCTGTTGGCCAAAGGCAGTGAGCTCCAAAGCAGACGTGTCCCCTTGCGGTGCCTCAGGGGGCCCCAAAACTGGGGACAGGGAGGGAGCCCAGCCCGGTCCTGTGTCCCAGGCCCTCAGGAGCTCGATGTCTTTCCCCCAGGGTTTATCTGGAGCAGGCGAATGAGCAGTTTGCCCCCATTGCCAAGCAGCTGCACAACAACCTGGTGGAGCTCTTCACCCAGCTAGTGGAAACCGGCAAGAAGGCCACGGAGCAGTGAGCGAGACCCCCAAGCAGCGTCTCCTGGGCTCCTGTGGAGGGGAGGTGCTGGGCCAGCGCTGTACTGGGGCTGCCGTCCCAGGAACAATAAATCTGGAGATGCCTCTCGCAGTGCCTCATTGCAGCTGGGGGTGGGTGGTGCCTGTGCCCTGGGGAGGTGTATGCAGAGGGGGATGGAGCTCTGCAGCCCGGCAGGCCCTGGGCTTGGGGCCAGTTTGTTGGGCTGCCGGTGGCCCCTGCTGGGAGCGCTGGCCCTGTTCCATAGGAGCGCCGTGGGTGTGGTGGAGGCAAAGCAGATCTCCCAGAGCTCAGCACCAGTGAGCGCCACCACTTCTCTGCCTCTGGGGAGCCCAGCTGGGCCCATCCCTAGGGAGCGCAGCGTCAATCCCCCCCACCCACCTGCCCTGGAGCGTGACATAGGACCCCTGCGCTGGGCACCCAGACCCCCCCACGTGAGCCCTGGGCATCTCCCGCTGTCCCTCCCACCGAGAGCACGACACAACCCCTGCCCCTTGGGCACCCCTGGTGACCCCCAGACCCATGTGGGGCAGGAGTGCTACCCCTGTGCCTAGCCCCTGCTGAGGGGCTGGACCACGGCCCAGCCCAGCCCAGCCCCCCGGGACCACTGAACTGGGGCGGCTCCGCACCTCCTGCGAGTGCCCTCGGGCCGAGCCCATTGCCGAGGCTGGCAGAGCGAGGTGGGGGCCCTGCTCTGCTCGCACCCATGGCAGCATCCACACTGATGGGCACAGGGCTGGGGAAGGGCCAGGAGCTGAGGGCAGAAACCTGGCCCGGCCACACTTGCCCGCAGAGGGCCCACGTTGTTGGGGCAGGCGAGCCCTGGCCCAGACGAGCATGCGGTGGGCCAGGGTCCAGCACGTGGCGGGGAGCCAGGGGTGGCTCGTGCTCGCCTTGCTGAGCCCAGGGCCCAAGGACACACAGACGGGCTGATGCTATTTGCAGCCAGAGGCCCGCCCCGTCGTGGCCCTGAACAAAGATGGCAGCTTTGGCTTCACGGCGCGAACGTTACTTCCGCCCACAGCGTTCTTACCCTCAATAAACATGGCGGCTTGGCTTCCACCCGAGCCCGTTTGGTTGTTGGGCTTGACGCCACTTCCGGCCTCCACCATCCCTCGACCAAGATGGCGGACGAGGCGACCCGGCAGGTGGTGGCGGAAAGGAGGAGTACCAGGCGCTCATCAAGGTGGGGCCCACCCGCTTCCGGGGGGCGCGGGGCAGGGACGGGGTGTGTGTCCTCACGAAAGGGGCCGGGCGGAAACCACTTCCGGTGCGCGTGGGGTGGGCTCTTACGGTGCAGAGCAGTGACCCCCCCCGCCCCCCCCAGTACGTGGAGAACAACAAGAGCGCGGACAACGACTGGTTCCGGCTGGAGTCCAACAAGGAGGGCACCAGGTAGGGGACCCGCTGGTCGCAGGGCCCCGGCTCCGCGCCCGGTCCTCGCTGGGCTGCCAGGGCCGCGGGGTGGGTGTTGCAGGCCGTACCCAGGCCCCTGGTGGGCTGGAGGGAGTGTCCTGTCCTCTCCTCCGCTCTTTTGCAGGTGGTTCGGGAAGTGCTGGTACATCCATGACCTGCTCAAGTACGAGTTTGCCATTGAATTTGACGTGAGTCCCTGTGCCGGCCCGTCAGGGGAGTGGGTCCCCCGTCCCTTCCGCGTGGCGCGGGGGGTGGGTCTCTGCTCGGGTCCCCGTTACCCCGAGAGGTTCTGGCTCCGCTCCCGGCAAGGGCAACCCCCTGGGACCGGGGGTGAGAGGCTGAAGAGGGGGACATGCTGCCAGCGGCTGGCAGGAGGGAGCGTCCTGTCTTGGGAGCGGCAGCCAGGAGCCAGCAGGGAATCTGGGAAGGAAGTGCCAGCTAGGAGCTGCCTGGAGAGGGGGCCAGGGTGCAGGTGAGGCCAGCAAGCATCACGGGCCACCAAAGGCTCCAGCTCGATGGCGACAGATCCGCCCTTCCTGCTAGCCCCACCAAAGGTCCCCTCTCTGGGCAAGCAACCCTGACCCAAGGACGTTAGCTGGCAGGAGAGCAGGGCAAGGGGTGCAGGGGAGGGGGAAGCAGCTGTTGGGTGCTCTTGGCATCTCCCTGCGCTCGTGTACAGGCTTGGGGCAGGGACCTGGGTGTGAGGGTCACTGATGGCGTTTGTCTCTGTGCAGATTCCTGTCACGTATCCATCTACTGCCCCTGAAATCGCCATTCCAGAGCTGGATGGGAAGACGGCCAAGATGTACAGGTCAGACACCCCCCTCATTTTTTTTCCCCCCTCAACCCACCTTGGCCTGAGCTCCTGGGGCCAGGCCTGTCTTTACATCCTCCTTCCACCCATCAATCTATACAGGCTGACGGGAGAGAGGGGGAGGGTCACTTCATCTGCTAGCAAAATGCAGTCGGGCCTGAGGTGAAGCACGGTAGCTGTGGATCCGAACGCAGCAAAGCTGATGCACAGTTCAGGCTGGGAAGCCAAAGCGATGCCCTGGCTGAGGGAGGCCACGCAGGGTCCTAGGGAGGCAGAAGGTGATTTCCTCACACTAGGCAGAGGCTGAGATTACGGGGTGGGGCAGGGCCCTAATGGCAGCTCCTCAGCATGTCCCGCAGCCCCTGTGTCAGACCTGGAGCTGTGCAGCACCACTGCAGGTTCCCCATCCTGCTGGGAGGGGTCTGCCCCATGCTGTGTGCTGAGGGCTGGCTGCTCCTTCACGCTTCTGTCTTGTCTCCTGCAGGGGAGGTAAGATCTGCCTAACTGACCACTTCAAGCCCTTGTGGGCCAGGAACGTGCCCAAGTTTGGGCTGGCTCATCTCATGGCCCTGGGGGTGAGTTGCTGTTGCCAGGGCAGGGGTGGGAGGGAGAGGGGACTCCATGTGAGTTGTGTTCACACCTTTTGTGCTCTCTGCTTTGCAGCTGGGCCCATGGCTGGCAGTGGAAATCCCAGACCTGATTGCCAAGGGACTAATTGAGCACAAGGAGAAGTGACCAACCCTCAGCCCTCGCAGGCACCAGCCCAGCCTGGGCACAGGCAGCTCCACACCCCATGGATTTGAGACACCTGCTGCACTGGGACACCTGGCTCCTGCTCTGGATCCTCTGTGTGATCTGTGCCCTGTGTAGGGGTGGAAGCTGCCCCCAGCTCACCCACAGCACCCAATAAAACAGTAACTGCAGCACCGACTTGCCTGGCTTCTGCCCTGCCAGGGTGCCTGCCTTGCCCGGGGGCTCAGGTTGGGGCAGAGGCTGTGCTGTGAGGCTGCCTTGACACGCTTGCCCAGGTCTGTCTTGGCAGGATGAGGGCTGCTTAGCTGTGCTGTGGGGATCCTATTGGGGGCTCTCTGGTCTGCCTGCCTGAGCACATCTTGAGTCTGCTCTCTCGGTCCTTCTCATTGTAGGGCTTCTGGAGGCCTGGCCTCGGCATATCCCTTAGCTCTGCTTCCTGGCCCAGACTCCCCAGAAATAACAGCTGTCCTGCAGTGAGGGACAGCTGGGCAGGATCTGGAGCTGGGATGCTCCTCTGTGGGGGTCCTGTTGACCCTTTTCTCCTCCTGGTGTGGGTCAGTCTTCCTGCTGGGGCCCCAACTATGGACAGGCACTGACAACTCTGACACTGCTGTGTCCTCACTGTGCCCCTTAGTGCTGGCAGCCCCTCCCCCAGTCCCTTTGGTTCCTGTAGGGCCATGTATGGCCAGTGCTCTCCCTGGTGTCTCCACCTGCAGGGCCATGCACAGCCACGGGCAACAAGGAGGCCCTAGGTGGGCCTGGGGAGGAGGTCTCTGAGCCATGTTTCAGCTCAGACCCTGAGCTGACATCCCATGGCTGTAGCCTCCCCAGTGGCCAGGCCCCATCTCTGCTCCTCATACTGCTTGCTGGTGTGAGGTACCTGCCTTCTAGGCCCAGTCCTCTCTGGTTCAGCCCAGGTGCTGGCTGGATGGGTGCTGTCACCTTAGCTTTCAGTTGCTTGCCCCCCGCACACCCTTGTGACCTGGGGGGAGCAGATGCTTTCTGCCTTCCACAGTCTTGTTGCTTTTGCTGCCAAAGTGCTGTGTCCTGCAGCCCCGGCCTGTGTCTCCTTGCCCCTCCTCCTGTAGTCCTGCCCTGCTGCAGGGAGGGAGCCTTCCCTGCAGTGCTCACTGCCCCTCTGCCCAGGCCTTTCTCCCACTGCCCCTACTGTTTGGCCTATTAAGGCCTGGAGGTTTTATTGAGGGGATACTGCCACTTGCTGCTGATTGGGAGGCCTGTTCCCCTGCTTTCCCAGGACCCAGCAGCCTTGAGCATGGGGGTGACCCTCAGTGCTTTGTTCTTTCTGACAGACTCTCACCTGCTGGACCTAGAGCTCCTTGGTGCGGTGCTGGCCTGGGTTGTATGTTGGTTAGTCTGCCTCAGTCCTGCCCAGCTCTCACTCATGCGCTGTGGGGCTGATCGATGGTTCCTGCAGCATCTAGCACACGTGGCTGCTCCTGGACCCAGATCCCTCTCACCCCAGGCAAAGGGCAGAACTAGACCCAGCAGGGCCTCATGCAGCTTCATGTTTGCCAAGTGGCCAGTAGTCCAAGCCCCAGGGCAAGGCCACCAACCCCTCAGTTCCCAGGGGGGCTGTGTCAGGCAGCAGCTACCGCTGCACAGCAGCCTCCAGATCTGCCAAGGGGCTGAGGATAGGCTACACTCAGCTCTTCACATCGGGGCCTGGGCCTGGCTGAGGGGGAGCTTGGAGAGCATCATGCCTGCAGCAAGTCCCTGGGGCCCAGGCTAGACTCCTGGTGCAGTGCTGGGGGTGGCTTCCCACCTCTGCTGGGGTCAGCCAGGTGTCCGCAGGGCTCCTGCGGGGACAGCTCCCCCACTCCAGCGGTGCTGGCAGGGTCCTTGCAGAGCAGACGTGCCCACGGGTGAAGGTGTGGGAGCTGCTGTGGGATATGAAGGGAACCTGATGGCTAGCCAGGACCCCCTGGCCGGACACAGGCTGGGGACGCGGCGGGAACCAGCAGCCTCTAGCTGCACTGGTCCTGGCAAGGGTCCAGCAAGCAGATCTACCCTCCGTTATATGCCCGCCCCCAGTGGAAGCTGGACCCTTTCCCTGAAGGCGCGGAGGAGCCGCCGCGGCGCGAAGCAGTGCGAACGCAACAGGCGCGAGACACTGCAAGAGCGTGCGGCCTGGCGCTTTGTGCCCGCGGGTCTCAGAGCTCGGCCAAGGCGGCCGGATTGCTGTTTTTAAAATGAACATTGCAAAAGCACAAGCGCGTCCCTTCGCCCCTCGCCGGCTTCCGTCCCGGGTGTGCGGGAAGCACGTGCAGGAGCGCAGCCTGAATGATCCTTCGCGTTCACGCGCTAGCACCGGGCCCGTCTGCGATGTCAGAGCCCGGAAAGCCGCTCCCTGCATCTCCGGTGCGCGCGCTCCCCGCCCCAGGGAGCCCGGCTACACCGGGCACGATTCCCATGACAACCCGCGCTGTCACTCGTGTTGGTGGGGCGGGCGCGGTCACGGCCCCTTTAAGAGGCGGAGGAGGACGCCTCTCTGCCTCCATGGTGACGGCGGTGTGTCACAGGAGCAGGGCGGTGCGGGAGGGGGGCGCTCGGCGAGGCAAGCTTGTGGGCGGGCGGCGCATGCGTCCCCCGCCGGGGGGAGCCCCGGCCGCCGGGGCGGGGCGG